TGGACACTAGTCTTAGCTCTATGCCCACCTTAGCTTTCCTACAGACCCGAGCAGTGGAGGTATACTCCTCTTTGGAGATAGCCCCCCCACCTTCCACCAGGTGTATGCCGCCTCTTTGGCAACCAGGCATTCCCAGGTGTCCTTGGTGAGCCGGGGGGGCTTGTGGGCGCTCTTGCCCCCCTTGCTTCTTGTTGGGCTCGTCACCCCTTGTGCCCTCAGTATCATCTCCTTAAGGAACGACCGCTCATCTTGGGCACTGAGTTCCCCTGCCCTTGAGAACCCCAGCGCCTCTCCCACTAATCTCAACTCATTGAAGTTGGCCCGCTTGAAGTCTAGGGCTACCGCCTTGCTTCAGGCCCTTGTCACCCTGTGCTGGATGATGAATTCCAGCAAGCGATGATCGCTATCACCCATGTGGTCAAAGACCTGGAGCCCCCTTACCAGATCATCGCCTGTGGCCAGGACCAGGTCCAACAGGGCATTTCCTCTGGTGGGACTGTGCACCTCCTGGGTTAAATGGAGGTCCTGTATCTCAGCCAGGAACCTCCTGGAACGGTCCAACCTGGCTGACTGCTCCTCCCAGCAAATGTCTGGGTAATTTAGATCACCCATGACAACTACATCCTTTGCTTTAAGTGCCTCTGCAAGCTCGCCCGAAAATTCCCGGTCCAGCTCCTCCCCGTGTTTGGGGGGTCTGTATTAGACCCCCACTGTTAAATCCCTCTCCCCCCGACCCCTTGTATCTTGACCCAGAGCATTTCAGCTTGCCCCTCCTCTGACCCCATTTTGCTGGCAGAGGATGTGTATTGCTCTTTGACATGGAGCACTACACCCCATCCCTACCTTCCTTCTCTATCCCACCTGTAAAGCCTATAGCCTCTAATGCTAATTGCCCAGTCGTGGGATGAATCCCACCATGTTTCTGTAAGCCCTACTATGTCTGGGTTTGAACTGGCTATTCTGAGGGCGAGTTCCTCCTGTTTGTTCCCCATACTACGAGCACTGGTATATTTATTGTTGAACTTACCTGTTCATACCATTTGGGACCATTATGCTTACCGTTCGTATTTGGGTGTGTATATAGTTATAGTTATATGTATTTATAACCTGTAAATACTCACTTTAGTTTACTACCTTTATATATATACCTATATTAAATTTTGTACCTGGTTAAGACATTGCTTTCTGTCCCTGCTCTATTGAGACATGATAGGTGGGAGGGAACTGTAAGTGACTGCAGTTTCCACCCCACCACATGTGCCCTGCTGGCTTTCCCCTTCTATTGGTGAGAGGGGACACTCACTTTGGGGACACCCAGGTTACACTCCTTTGTCAGGGATTGAAAGTCTGTGCATTGAAAAGAAGAAAAACATTCTATCACTTAATAAGATGAATATTAAGCATCTTAGTGGTATACAGCAATCAACTCTGTAAAAGTAGGAAAAAATTCATTTGAACCAATAGAGAAAATGAGATATGCCAGCTATATGAAGTTTCAGTTTTATTTTGACCTCAGTAATTAAGGCCTCTGTAAGCCTTTAGATATGAGTAATACTTATTGTCTAAGTTCTGCTCTTCAGTGCAGCAAAGCTCTTGATCCTTACCAAAGCTGGTCGTTTTTACAAAAAGATTAGAATAATGCTTTTTACTAGTGGTCAAACGTTTTGCTCCATAGGCCAGATGAGCAGTTCCTAGTCAGTCTGTGGTCCAGATCCCACCAGTGGTCCCAGTCTGACTATGTGGAGGATGTAGCAGGCAGCCTAACCCCAACCCATCCCTACAGGGGGAAGGAGATATGGCCAGGCCCTGACCTAGCCCCACAAAGAGAAGGGGGAATGGCCTGGCCCAGACCCAGACCCATGGGGCCACCATTCTCCTGTCACCAAATTTCCTGACCTCAGGACACCCACAGGCCAGATGCCATGGCACTGTGTGCTGGATTTGGCCCGTGGGCCAGGAGTTGAGCATCCCTGCTTTATACTATTGCCATAGTGGGAAAATGTAAGGTCAGCATCACTATCTACTATGGAGATGACAGGGCATTTCATGATGGTAAACATACTTATTTAATTAATGTAGAATTGATGAAGAATATGTCTGTTAATGAGATTTCATATCTACAGTCTCTCAATAACTCACTATCTCTATGTCAAATTTGCAAAACAAGATAGTGGAAATTCAGCTGACAGAAGTTGATATCTTTGAGCAAGATCCAGAAGCACTTTAGACTCCTAAAACTTTTGATCTTGTCCTTTTCCACCTATGAAGTACCTAAGTGAGCCTAGGCACCTAAGTTGTCCCTATTCCATGGTACTCAAGTATCTTAAAATACTTGGTTATCTTGTTTAATTTTATAATGTGCTATCATCTTAGGCTAAGTCACAAAAAGCAGTGAGGGGAAAGAAGAGGAGGTCCAAGATTATTTCTGATCTTTACCTACTGACTGTCTAATTTAAAGTCTAGGTCAGGGAGTAAAGGCCACAAATGCCCCTCTAGATCTTGACTTTTGTTGCATGAAGAGACCAAATAAAACCTGGGTAACCCTTCCGTAGCTTTCAGAGGTTAAGATGTTAGCAGAAATAAAACTCAGGTCTTTTAGACAAAACAAAGAGATATGACTTCTGGATACTCAGAAATATTGATACCATTTTTTTCTGAATTGCTTTAACGTGTACAATAATGCTGTTTGGAAAAATCTGTCATAACAGGATCTAGGAGGAGGAAACCAGGGTTGTCAACGGTTTGTAAGTTTACAGCCTAAAATCTTCTGTGCACAAATTCTGGAAAAATAATTTTGCCCCTGTGAAAATAAGACATCCTCATCTTGCTTCAAGATTCATCACCTGAATGAAATTACATTTGAGGCAGTCATCAATGCTGGGCAGAGAGAACAGAGTAGCACCACCATATCTAAGCAGGAGATCTGATTGTCACAGCTTTCTGGCCCACTGTAGCCTCCATAGTTCCTTGCATCTTGGATGGAGCTGTGGGGCTGGGAGGTGGGGAGAGGTAGTAGGTGGGGTCCATGCCAGGATAGGGGGAGCGGGGCTAGTGGGTTGGCTGGGAAGGATAGCATGGTGTTGAGTACAGTCAAGGGTGTCAGGGTGTGAGCTAAGTAGGGGACTCATGTGGTGGGGGCAGCAGGTTATAACACCATCTCTGCAGTTACACAGGGCTACCAAGATTTTTTTTAACTGACAGTAAAAAATTTGTCAGTGAAAAAGTTTTCAGATTAGGAAACACATATGCTATTACATTGCCTGCAAGATGATTTTTTTAAAGGAGCATGTAGTGCCGTTCCTCAGTGTAGGAATAAAATGTGCCTCCACTTAATGAGCCCCTTGAGAAAATGGTGTTTATCTGTGGTATTAGCTAGACAGCACCCCCTGTGCTTTTCAGTATCATAGAGAGATCCCTGCTGCATGTAAGGCGGGATTGAGCACTTGATCTGAGGGTATTTAGTACCATAGAAATCAGCTCTTTCAAATCTAACATCTTATGTTGAATGTTTTTGTTACCCATGATTTCATACCTATTCAGTATCACTGCTTAAGTCACTCAGTGCTCTGAAGGTATGATTATACCATGTCCCCCGGGCTGTCCGGGAGGATGCTCTCAAGCATGCCCAGCCCACCTGTTCCCACTTGGATATGCCAAACTTAGATATTCAGCACTGAAACTTCACTGGAGGCACTACCTACAGCCACTCAAACATGTTGAAGATGCAAACCTCAACAGAAGGTGTGGAGAATGATGAACTTCCACAGTGACTTCACTGCCATATTTCTGGATTTGACATGTACTAGCAGAAATGGCAGCCGGGTGTGCTCAAGAGTTTCTCTCCAAGTGTGCCATGAAAGAACCCTCTTAGAAGGTCTGGATTCTTCCCCTTTCCATTTTTTTCTCACATTTGTGGGCTACTTTGCTGAGTGGGAGCTGCCATGGTAATTTAAGCCTATTGTCCATGCAGCATACAAAGAGAAGGAGCATTGAAAGATTGTGCAGTATCCATTGTTGGAAGTTTTTAAGAGCAGATTAGACAGATACTTGGCTGGGATGTTTCAGTCAGGGATGATCCTGCTTTGAGCAGGTTTTTGGAAATAAATGACCTCCTGATAGGCTTTCCAGCCTCACTTTTCTATGATTGCAGGACTATAAATGAGAGCTCTTTAGCAAAGCAGAAAAATAATACAAACACTGGCTTTTTCTAACGTATAATTGTTACAACCACATCAAAGCTTCATTTGCCATTGATAAACACCAGTAAAGTATTACGTTTTGGAAATTCAGTTGAAGTAGTGATGGGCATGCTCCATAGAGTTTATTTCCAAATCCAGACTGGCCCAATGCCCAGAGTGTTTGTACCTGGGCATTTTGGCTTGGACTCATCTCAAAATGTGAATTAAAAAAAAGTAAAAGTAAAAATGGTCAGAGCATGGTTTATAGACAACAGGTGTGATGGGATGCATGCATAATCCCTCCTGTAGTTTCCAGGGGACACACTTTACAGTGGCAGGACCATGGCTTTGGAAAAGGAATGTAGTATGTTCTCCAATCCACACCAATCAGCAATGATGACCATTGAATAGGGCAGGGGGGGAAGGGAAGGGAAGGAACACAGCTCTACCTTAATCTCACCCATGCTCAATTAGGGTGACTTGTTTCAACAGTAGTTATTTTTTTATCCATAGTCACTGAATTATTCTGTGCAGAAATGTAAGAAGCCTCCCTCCTGCCCCCTATACAAAATTGTATGTCTGACCAATTGGGACTTAAATAATAAATCCTAGAAATACAAGCAAACATTGGCTGAAATACAGATGCAGTAAGAACTACTCTATATTAGTAATTTATTTTGTCTGTAATTCATCATTCACTATTTTTGAACCAACATTCACGAAGTAGATCAAATAGCAAAGTAAGACCCAGTGAGGAGGTCTGTAAATTGGATAGAAATATTTTTACATGAACTTGTTCTGTTTTTCCTTCTTCTCTTTGAGGTCTCTGACTTTGGCAGAATATCTGGCCTTGAAGAGCTTATCCTGTCTTGCAGTGGAACAGAATCAATAGAAAATAACACCTTCAAGGCTCTGAGCACCTTGCAAACCCTGGAACTCTGCAAGAACAAGCTAAGGCGTATACCCACTTTCCTCCCATCCAGCCTTGAAGTATTAAAACTTGGTGATAATTCAATAAATGCTATACATGGGTCTGATTTGGAAGGTTTAAAGAAACTCAGGGTGCTTGATATTCAAAACAACTTGATTTTAGCACTCTCTTTCAGCACGCTTTCCTCCCTTTGCAGCTTACAAAGTCTGATTTTGGATGGTAACAATATGGAATCTGTGTCTGGCCCACTTAAACTTCCCAAGCTGAAGTATCTGAGTATGGCTAATAACAAACTGCACTCTTTCTTAGGCCACTTCTTTGAACCTCTGCAAGATTTACAGTTTCTGAGCTTTAGCGGAAACCATCTGGAAAAGGTCCCACCTGACCTGCCCAAGTCCTTGCTTTCATTAAAACTAGAGAGAAACAGACTCAAAACAGTAAGATTTCGAGACATGCAGCATCTAGAAAACCTATCTGAGCTTTTTCTTTCTGAAAATCAGCTTTCGTCAATAGATGGTGCTCACCTTCTTCCTAACTTAATCGCACTGGAACTGTCCAGGAACCAGCTCCAAGCTATGCCACTCAGGCTTCCAGCCAGACTACAGAAACTTGACTGCAGCAATAACCTGATTAGGCAAGTCACAGCACAGGACTTCCAGGGTCTACGAAACCTCAGGCATCTGTTTCTTGATAACAACGCTGTTAGTCTGTTTGAGGCTGGAGCTCTTCAGAGGTGTGCACAGCTCTCTAACCTGGCACTGGAACAAAACCTGCTTATTTCTATTCCACTAAGGCAAGTGAATGTTAAGTCAGTTTATACCTGAGGGCCATCACCTCCCTCTTTTCCTGGGAACCAAAGAGTGCAGAAACTGGACTAAAGTTGTGGGGGGATAGGAGGGAGATGAGAGTAGCTGCCATGCTTCAAGCCTTCTCTCCCTTCCTCATTTCTGAATCTGGACTCCTTCAGTGTGCAGTGAGCAGGACGGGGGAATACAGCTACTTTTCATAACATCATGCCCCTGGAAAGCTGTTGGAATTTCTTTGTGGGAATGAATGCTGATCAGTCACTGGCATCACTCCCCCAGTTGATGAGTCTTTTTAGCAAGCTGGCAGTGGGAAGAGGATCAGGGTTACACACTATGTAGGAGAAACATGCTGTTTTGGGAGGCAGAGACCCAAGAACAGTGTACAGGCACTAGATCGCTCCTCTGATACTCTGGAATTTCCCAATGATCTTGGGACATCCATCCTGCCTGCTCTACAGATGTGTTCGTGTGTGTGATGGGAGAGAAGGCTAGAAGCCTACTCCTTGAGGACTGAAAGATCTGCAGGAGATTCCACAAATTGGGGGTTTTTTGTGTCCTGCATGCATATTTACTGCATAAGGCTATTTTTTTTTTAAATTCACAACAAAATTCAGTCCTCTCAGTATAAATAGATGTAGTTACAGCTGCAGTGTACAGTGATCCAATTAAATGTATGTACACCTCTTTCCACCTTGATGTCTCTACAAAGTCCTGTTACTTTCAGCAGTTGTTCTGTGCCTATGAAAGATTAGCTCTTAATTTATTTAATATATAAAGGGTACTGCCTGGCTCCTGCAGTAATGGCTGTAAGGCTGAGGAGCCTTTCATTGTCTTGAGTCCTGCCAAGCATTTGTAAGGAAAGAGAATGTTACCATATGATGGCTATTGGATGGGCTTTGAAATGCCTTTGAGCTCAGTCCCATTTCCAGAAAAGAAATATCCATACCACACACCTAACACCATATCTGGCACTAATCTGTTGGTAGTCTCAGCAAAGAGCTGAGTGAATGTTTGTTTCAGGTTTCTGGCTGCAACTGTGACTATGCTGTTTCCATAGGACCTAGATAAAAGGAGCAGGCTAGAGGGTACAAAAGAATAATGCAGAAACGGGACACTGATTTTCTCTGATTTACCCTCTCATATTTCAAGGTTAGTGGGGCATTTAATGAAGCTGAAAGACAGCAAAGTTACAACCGATAGAAAAGAAGTACATTCTTACTAAGCCATACTTTTCCTATCGTTGCTCCAGTATAAGATTCCAAAAGCTCAGCATGGTTCAGAGAAGAACTGGATGTTCATATGGATACTAACAGTCACTGTTTAATTAAATTCATTAAAGTATTAAAGAAAACCTCATAAATTTGGCAGGGTTTTAAAACCGAACACTCTGGGTCATAAGCCAGCTTCTAATTGAAGAATATACAGAAAACCTTCCCTTGTGCATAGCATATTGTCTAATTGCCCAGTTTGAGTCTCTTGCATTTTCTTTTCAGCATCTGGTTCTGGCCATTACTAGGTAGGAAACTGGACCAGAGAACTAGACAAACACTGATCTTATCCAATATAATAAGTCCTTTGTTAAATATCTGCACAATAAGATGCTATAAAAATAGCCCTTTATTTATATAACATCCACTTCTTTAATACAACTACAGTGTTACATATTATTTTACATTTAGTGCACTGGCTTAACAGGGCATAGTAAATAACATAATACAATTTTACCTGCTATACATCTCTGTTAGCATCTGGTGCCTTGAATCTATTTGGAAAGAGCTTTATAATCAGTGATTTAGTGGCATATAAATATTTGATTTCAGTCTAGCTTGACAGGAATGTTTAATGCTTTCTGGTTATGTTAGTATTGTCTAATCCATCTTATTTTTATAACCTCTGTAGTAGAGACAATTTTAGGGGAAGAAAGAGCTGTCTATTAGCCTTTTAGTGATATAATTTTGAAAGATACACTGGAGATTTTCAATTCTTCAGCGAACATAAATTCCAGGGTAGGACTATAAAACACAAGTGGAGGGATGAGTAAAAGGATACTTTATATACTAGATCTGATTATATGCGTACACTCGGGTCTCTCTTTATGTGAATTCGTTTTGTGCAAATTCGCTTATATGCGATGAGGGGAACAGATGAGGGGAAACAGGGAACAGAGGGGATGCACAGAAGAGGTGCTCACCCCGCACTGCCTTGGCACCACGTCCGCTGCTCATGACACTGCTTGCAGCACAGGGTGAGCACTTTCTCCACACAGCCCCACTGTTCCCTGCTTCCCTGCCCCAGGTGCCTCCACAGCCCAGTGGGCATGACCCGGTGCAGCAGGGAGCTCATAGCCCCTCTGCGCAGCCCCACTGTTCCCAGCTGCGCCAGCTTGTGCCCACTGGACTGGAGAGACACCCAGGGAAGGGAAGCAGGGTGGAGCCAGGAGTGGCAAGCAGCCGGTGTTCCCTGCTGCCCTGCTTCCCTCCCCCGGGTGCCTCTCCAGCCTACCCCACGCTGCTCTGGTGGCGCACCCCCTGCATGTGCCACTGCTTGCAGTGCACAGCTCGCAGCCTCTCTGCACAGCAGTTATTATATTGTGTGATTACTGTTTGAATTTGTCATCGTTTTGGGGAGCAGTAGAGTGAGGCTGGTACATTGCATTGCAGGTAATCATGGATTCGCTTTATGCAAGGTTTTTTTTGGAATGCAACCCCTGCATAAAGAGAGACCTGAGTGTATCAATTGGTAGTTGAGAATATGCTCTCTCACTATTAGTCTTTTAGTGATATAATTTCCCAGCACGATTTGCAGCCATAACATATACACAGGGCCAGCCCACAATTTTTTGGGGCCCACTGCAAGGCATAGCTTTGGGGCACACTGACGTGAAGAAGGCATCAGCGGTGGGGGGTGAGGGTGGTGAGCACAGAGGTGCACTGGGTGCACTGGGGCCCTGGGCAAGCACAAAATTGGAGGCCCCCTCCCTCCATGGGAGCTGGGCTATGGGAGAGGAGGGGCCCCTTCCCCTCTTAGTGCTGGCAGGGGAGATTGGGTGGACCCTGCTGGTCTGGGAGGCACATGCCCACCATTTCTCCCTGCTCCTACTATGGTCAAATGTACACATACACATGACAGACAAGGTTATTTGGGTAAATCTGATGTCTTTTATTAGACCGACTAAGTAGTTGGAAATATTTTTCTAGCAAGCTTTCAGGTTTAAAAACCCTTGGTCAGGTTGGGAAAGCATCTGCAGTTGGTGTGTGCTCTTTCTGGATGGAACGAATAGTAAAGAAGCCAGAGACTGGTCTGCATGCAAGCCAGGCAGTGAACATGTAAATTGAGGAGTCAGTGGGTGAGAATCAGTGGATTTTGTGGAATAAATCCTTAAATCACTTGTTACCAAAAGAGTGAGTTTTGTCCAAGACACTACAGACTTTCTATGAAAACTTAAAAACATAGACCACCTTCCCAGCAACACCCTCCTAGCCACCACAGATGTTACCAGCTTATATACCAACATCCCACACCAGGATGGCATCCAAGCCTTCCTTACATACCTACAAAAGTAAGATGACAACTCTGAGTGCAGACCCAAAGATATTACTGAAATTATATTCTTCATCCTCACACACAACAATTTCACATTTAATAACCAACGCTTCCTCCGGATCATGGGTACAGCTATGGGCACCAAAATGGCCCCACAATGTGCCAACCTTTTTAGGAGCTACCTGGAAGAAGAATTCCTCAAAGACTGCAACATCAAACCCTTGCTATACTTAAGATATATCAATGACATCATCATCATTTGGACTGAAAACCTGCAATCGCTGATTGAGTTCCAGCAGAAGAAATTCAGCAATCATCACCCCTCCATCCGACTATCTCTTGAGTACTCCAGCACCAACATCTCCTTTTTAGACAAAATGATCAGCATCCAGAATGGTAAAATACAGACCATGTTATACAAGAAGCCCACAGACCAACATACATATCTTCACAGAACCAGCAATCACCCTAAACATACCAAGAAACCTGTGATACACAGCCAACCCCTCAGATCCCACCGAATTTGCACTGAGGAGAACATTGCTACCTCACAAATCTTAAAAAGACTTTCACTCAACAAGGACACTCCTCCAGAGAGATAGATGCACATTTGAAAGAGCCACCTGGATACCACGTGAAGAACTGCTGCAGTGCAGAAGGAAAACCCCCACAAATCACACCACTGGTTATGATATATCACACCTCCCTGAAACCTATATGGAAAATCCTCAAACAATTGCAACCCATACTAGAAGGAAACCCAATTCTTAAAGAGATCTTCCCAGAACAACTCATCCTAGCCTTCAAACAAGCACTGAACCTCGCTAACCTCATCACCGGAAGCAAACTTCCTCCAGCCCAGAACACACCAAATGGATCCAGACCGTGCCATGACAAGAAATGCAAAACCTGCCCACACATCTCCACCACCCCCACTATCACTACACCCCACAACAGAGCCATCAACATTCCTGTATCTTACAGCTGCACCTCCAGAAATGTAATGTATCTCATCCAATGCACCAAATGCCCTGATGGAAAATATGTAGGAGAGACTAAACAACAACTGCTCTCCAGAATGAACGCACATCCGATATCTATTAAAGACCAGAATACCCAATTACTGGTGGGGGCACACTCTCACAAGAAAACCACTCTCTCTCCAATCTCTCATTATTAACCCTCACAGGGAATTCACAAAACACTTTTCACAGACGAGCCTATGAACTTCACTTCATCAACCTCCTAGATACAAAAAATCATGGAATAAACATAGAAGAAATACAAGACTGTAGAACTCTTGGTTCCAAAATAATACCTTTTATTAGACCAACTGGGAAATCACAAGATAACTATCTTGTTCTGCAAGTTTTAGGGCTCAAAGGCCCTTCTCATCCGGCTCTGAGAAATGTATAGATGGTAAAAAGTCCCCAGAGGTAGGAAATAAACTTAATTTTTGCACAGATGGAGCTGAAGATGGAAAGCTGTCCCTCTGGATCCAACTCTTTCTTGTGATTTCCTAGTTGGTTTAATAAAAGGTATTATTTTGGAACCAAGAGTTCTACATTTTGGTATTTCTTCTCGTCTAAGACCAATATGGCTACCAAGTGCATCCCTGAAACATGGAAGATGCTGAATTTTAGTTGATTTTGGATTTTAAACTTCATTTCAGAACAACAAGAAAGATTTTTTACCTCCCCGCCTGCCTTCTGACACCTCCAGGGAAGGAATTTTACCTAATCTACATACCAAAGAGCAACTCAGCACAACTCTCAAAGACACAGCTACTAAGTGCATCCCTGGACTACACATAGACATTGGATTTATGACACACTATAAGCTGCCTGCCATCTGACCACTCAGGTACCTCTCCACTTTTCCCTGCTATATTCATCCCCATCTCTCACCCACTGGCTCCTCAATTCACATCTTCACTGACTGCCCTTCTTGCTGTAGCCCAGCCTCTGGCCTCTTTACTATTTATTCCATCCAGGAAGAGCACACACCAACTGCAGATGCTTCCCCAGCCTGACCAAGGGCTTTTAAGCCCAAAAGCTTGCCAAAAAAAAATGTTTCTAACTATTTGGTTGGTCTAATAAGAAATATCATGCACGCACACAAACACACAGACCCCCCTTGCCCGACAGCCCTCCACCCCCTAGCCCCCCACAGCCTCCCTCAGCTCAGTCTCACTCCCCCCCACCCCTGCTACAGTCACATGCAGGGAGCTGCTGCCTTGCTGTCCCAATGCAGAGGGCTGGGCTGGGCTGGGCTGGGCCTGGCTGCGAGCAGGTAAAGCAGGACTCTCCCAGCCCAGCTCGGCCCTCTCCCCCGTAGGTGTGGTGCCACGTGGCCCGCAGGTGCAGTGGGGCTTTTCAGGCAAGACCCCAGCCCTGCCTGTCCTCCCCCAGCTCCATCGGTGGAGAAGGGGCCTTGCTTCTGCTGCCACGGAAGCAAATGTGAAAGCCACAGTTTCAAACTTGGCGCTTGAAATGGGCACAGAGTTTAAAACTGCGGCTTTCACTTCCCTGCTGGGGTGGATGCTGGCCGCACAGGGCCCCTTGGCTATGGGCCTCCCTGTGGCCGCAGGTTTTGCAGGCATGGGTGGGCCAGCCCTGCATATACAATGGCTCCCTGAACGCTGATTGCTGATGCCAGTGTGCTAAGGAGCTTGCCATAGGTTCTTTAAGAAATGGTTTAAAATTCTGAAGCTAGCTTAATCCCACCTTCAGAAGCAGCAACAGCATTGCTGTCACACTGGCTCTGAGCATAAAAGAGTCCAAAGAGCAGCAAGAACAGTCAGACGGTTAAACATGGTTACTCTCTTAAACACTAGTTGTGATCAAACAGTAGGGCTTCAAAATCTAAACTTGACTTAAGTGGAATTCAGTTGGACTTCAGAGGGACTATGCTTAAGTTTTTGCTTGCTCAGGCCTTTGAGTATATATATTTTTGAAACAAGAACCTTAAGTGGTATCTTCTTATCAGTGCCTTCTGAGACCTGCATTTCACCCTGTGCCATCTTTCTTTCATGTCAAACCACTGTCCATACTAACTAAAATCATAGCTCCAGGTTTTTTCTCCAGTTTTTATTGTGGTTGCAAGATCAAAATCTCTCCAGAATAAATCGAGTTATTCCTTTTGCTCTTGCCTGGATATTGTAGTACCATGGAAGGCCACATTTTACAAACCTTACTCACTGAATATTCTCTCTGAAGCTCTGGAGAGTTTTTCAACAAACATGGCAAATAGCTTTGGCATATGATATTCAGTTTAGCTTTACAGAAACAACCACCTCAGCAATTGCACATCCCATGGGCTATTTTCATCATTTATTTTTAGTGATAGATCAAAGAATTACAGTAAAATAAGCTATCACGTCAGTAATGGGTGCTCGTGCAGAGTCACAGTTTAGTTCTAAGTAATTCTTGTTAACCTTCTTTATGATGACTTTGAGAATTATGTGCAACCAGAGTCCTTTACATTTCAGACTGGCACTCCTAACTTTAGCACCTTGTGAATCATAATACAGTATTAAATTGACTTTGGGATTAATTTCAAATTGATTTAATTAAAAATTGTCTTTTATGCCAAATTAGTACACTTCTCTAGCTAACAGTTTTCATGTACTAGTATGGAATAAAAGTAGAAGATTATAAATGAATGAGTAAGGCTTCTGAAATACAAAAGTAATTAAAACAACAAGCCTCATTTTGTGGCCAAAATGGCTGAATGCAAAATAAAAAGATGACAAAATATATGGTGAAAAATACATCAGATTTTCATTTTCATATTTACTCAGTTCTAAATTGTTGTTTTTTTTTCAACAAAGCTGTGTAGGAATAATTTGTTTTTTGTCCCTGATGACATCTTTTTAAGATCAGTTAGAAATATTTAACAAAGATATGAGCACTTCCTTTTCAGGTTCTTTTGACCTGTTGTGCATAATTTCTGAATCTGATGCTGACAAAATAAAGAAACAAAAAGAAAAAAATACACGTTACTGCACAAAATGTCAACCACATTTATGCAAAGAAAGCCTTAGGGGGTATATCCTCAGCCTTCTGTACATATTTTGTCTTTGGCACTGCTATAAGTTGGTCTTGGTTATGACTATTACATGGGACTCCATGAAATTTACTTTCACGTTAATTAAAGCCCACTTTGAATGCAATACTTTCCCCTCAAAAAAAGAGCCTATTCAGGGATGTAATAATTTGGGGGAAACAAGTCTGCTATACACAGATGTTGGGCCAACAGCTTTCAAAAAATCACGTGAGTAATAATTTAGACATATGTCCACAATCATGCATAGAAATATTTTAGGGCCATGTCTCCTCCGCAGTATGGCATCCCAGTGCCTTCATTTTCAATGGCACTGGCAGAATCAGTATAGCAAATGTTCAGTTTGTTTCATTTTTGTTCAGACTTCCAGATACTCTAGCCAGATTGGATCTGAAAGGAAATGACATACAGGATGTTGGAGAACAAGAGCTGAAGGACTTGAAACAACTTCAGGTTTTAAATCTACGTAACAACAAGATATCTTCCTTGGATCGCAAAGTCTTGGAGTATTTGCCTCGTCTCAGGCACCTGTATCTAGATGGAAACCCTTGGAATTGCACCTGTGACCTGCTCAGAACCAGAAAGGTGCTGATGGCCAAAAGGACAGATGTCAAGGGAGGACAATGTGTAGCTCCAATAGGAAGTCAAGGAGAAAGCTGGATGTCTTCCCAAAAGATTCTGCAGCAATGTGAAGATGACTTTTCTTCAGCTGAAAGAATCAAAGAGGCAAGAAAGGAAATGAAAACCGATGATTTTCCCAGTGTTGGAATAAATGTGGATGATGATTATTATGATTATGAAATAGATTAATCATGATGATGGTGGGCCTTTAGAACTCTCTTCCATTATCATGTGGGGGTACCATTGAAATTTCCTCTTTTATTTTATATAAAACTTCGTGCTTTGAGGTGGGGAGGGGGTGGCTAACAGTGTATTATGATGTCAGGTTCTTTAAAAATTGTGAGAGGTTTTTTTAATCAATATTGTTATGCATTTAATATTAGGTGATTGTTGGGAAGTAAGAATATAATTTCTATCACCTGGAAAAGTGATCTATTGTTCTCTATGGGGTTCATAAAGGTAGGCTGATAGTTCTATAAAAACTCTGCAGACAAAAAGTGTTTCACAAGATACTGTGCCAGTACTGGAACTTTGAGATCCGTGCCATTTAATTGCACCTAATGGTGCTCCAGTTTCCAAAGAAGTTGAAACATCATGTTTTAGAATTATAGAATCATGTTATAGAATTATAAAATCATTGAAAATTAGGGTTGGAAGGGACCCCAGGAGGTCATCTAGTCCAAACCCCTGCTCAAGGCAGGACCATCTCCAACTAGATCATCCCAGCCAAGGTTTTGTCTAGCCAGGTCTTAAAAACTTCCAAGGATGGAGACTCCACCACCTCTTGGGGCAGCCTGTTCCAGTGTTTTGCTACCCTTTTAGTGAGAAAATTCTTCCTAATATCTAACCTAAACTTCCCTTGCTGCAACCTGAGACGGTTGCTCCTTGTTCTGTAGCACTGGTTACTGCATATTGAGTTTAGTACCTGTTATTACAGGTACTAAACTTAATGTACCATGACTACAGTGCATTAATGCACATGTAGACATGCCCTCTGTGAAGTCAAAAAACTCCCTATGAAGTAAAAAACTCTATGACAGTTACATATAAATTATTTGGTCTTTTAAGATATTTGGATGCCAAATAATGCAACACTAAGAAACAGCGCATGACAATAGCTTCTAAAACCAACCTGCTCTTGTCTCAGAATGTTATTTTCAGAAGAGTAAGTGAGAGAGTATCTCCCATATATTTTAGCTGGAATACTCATAAAACTAATCAGACAATATGCTGCCAGGTCCCACACATCACTTTTTAAAAAAACTGTGACTACTAATATTTTAATTCCAGTGTTTAGGATAAATGCCTTCTAAAATAGTTATTCGTAGATTCATAGATGTTTGGGTTGGAAGGGGCCTTAGCAGATCATCGAGTCCGACCTCCTGCCCTGGGCAGGAAAGAGCACTGGGGTCAGACGACCCCAGCCAGGTGCATGTCTAGCTTCCTTTTAAAGACCCCCAAGGTAGGGGAGAGCACTATCTCCCTTGGAAGCCCATTCCAGATTTTGGCAACCCTTACCATAAAGAAGTTCTTCCTGATGTCTAACCTAAATCTGCTCTCCATCAGTTTGTGGCCATTGTTTCTAGTTACTCCAAGGGGTGCCCTGATAAACAGAGAATCTCCTATTCCTTGCTGTCCCCCCTGATGAATTTGTAGGCAGCCACAAGATCACCTCTCAGCCTTCTCTGGTGGAGGCTGAAGAGATCCAGGGCCCTCAATCTCTCCTTGCAGGGCTTTGCCTGCAGGCCCCTAACCATACAAGTGGCCCTCCTCTGAACCCTCTCGAGGTTGTCCACATCCCTCTTACAGTGCAGCGCCCAAAACTGAACGCAATACTCCAACTGTGGCCTGACCAATGCCACTTAAAGGGAAAGTATTACCTCCTTGGATCTGTTTGTCATGTACCTGCTAATGCATGATAAAGTGTGGTTAGCTTAACTCATCACTTCGTTACATTGACAACTCATGTTCATCTTGGAGTCAACGGTGACTCCAAGATCCCTTTCCACTGCTGTGATTCTGAGAAGGTCCTTCCCTTGCCTGTAAGTGTGCTGGTGATTCCTTCTTCCTAGGTGGAGCACCTTGCATTTGTCCTTATTAAACTGCATCCTATTCTGTTCTGCTCACTTTTCCAACCTGCCCAGATCTGCCTGGATTCATTCCCTACCCTCTGCTATGTTAACTTTATCCCATAATTTGGTATCATCTGCGAATTTGGACAGAGTGTTTTCCACGCCCTCATCCAAGTCACTGATGAAGGCATAGTTACATATAGTCAAAATTGGTCACCGCCTATTAAATCTTTTGTAGATTTCCAGAGGAAGAAAATCAAGGCAGGGGCCTTTCCATTATTTAGTAGGGATATAATTTCCTTACATAGGATTCAGAAGTGAGGTAGTGATGTGCTTGTGACTTAACAGATATTTCCTTCAGTGAGCATCCATTATTTCCCTCAACAGCTGTGAGTAAGCTGTTAAACTTATTTAAAAAAAAACAAACCAAAGCACATGGTTCTTCAGGGATTGAAAGCTATTTTTTGGTCTCTTTGGATATAATATGCCAAAAACATAGATTATCTTTATTTTCCCTGCATCTACTTGTTCATCCCACAGTCTTTCTTTTTCTTATCTATTCATTTCTTTATAGTTTATTTTAATTGTCTTGATTTGTTGGAAACAAACACAGTCATTAGGAAGCAGATGGAAACGATGGTCTGAAAGCTTTTGAAGTTGGAACAGGCAATGAAGCATAAACCATAAAGTGAAGATGATGATGATTATGACAAAAGGTTATTAAAAAATAAAAATAAAATTAATCTTCTGCAGTGAAGCACAGGTTCAACTAGTTCTAATGGAATTTTTAGGAAAAGGGGGAAGTGGATACTCTCTCTGCACATGGTAGGATTTTGAATGATTTATACTTATACCACATGTGTGGTTCTACTAGTATAATCTATAACACCCCTCAGCTCAGCACTGTGGGAGGGAAGGAAGGGCTGCTCTAGCACCCCCCAGCTTCTAGCCTGAGCCACTGCAGGCATGTGCCTGCATGTCTGGGATGTCTTTACAGTTACAAACTGATTTAACCTAGCCAGGTTAGACTAACCTGCAAAGATTGAATCAATTCAGGCTCAGGCTTTTTCAATGTTTGTCCCTAGTCCAAGTGTTCTAAAGTTCTCATTGGCTATGAATTTAAAGTAACATTGGCCTCCTTCATCTGGTGCCTTATCACACAAGATTCCCTATATTTAATTTATTGTGTCTTTTTATCATGGATATCAGTGCCCCCAATTCTAGCATTGAAATTACCTGCTATTATTATTTCTAGCTCTGGAAATTTATTTTGGGTCATCTCCAGAGCAGTATGTAGAAATTTCCATTTCAAGACTGCATCAATTCTTGATGTACAAGGAGGGAAATAAACATTAATAAGAAGTAAGGGAGCTCTACCATGGAATTTGATGCAGACTTCAAATAGATAGTTATATTCTAATTCACTCAGGCTCCTTGTTGATATGAGAGTAACCAAACCTCCCTGTAACCGCTTTTTACTTCTATCCCTCCAGCCATTTTTGTGGAAAGAAAAGAGCCCAGGAATGAACACCGTCTTCCCATACGATGTCTCTTGCAAAATCACAATGTCAAAATCTTTAACTTTTCCGCAATGGATTGGATAATTTGTTTGAAAATGCAGCTATGTTCCAAATGGAAAAAACCAAGCTGATCAAGAAATGAAGCAATCTGCTTTTCCTTAGGATCTAGTCAATCTTTTGGGTCCACAGATACAAGAGTCGGGCAACCACTGATAGGAACTGAGGCCCTCACTGTTTATCATGTCTTACTTTGAATAGGTAGTGTCTTCTTTAATTTCCATGTTAAGAGAAAAATTGCCTGCCCTATTTATCACCAGGGGCCCAACATTTAAACTCCTAAAACCAACTTTCAGGAGGGAATATCTAGATTCCAGATGATCCTCTTGAGGATTACAGCCAAGCTACATAAATAATATTATTTTCCAATAACTGAAGAAAAATGTGCAGATACAAATTGAATAATAAGCCATTTAATTGCATCTAATGGTGCTGCAATTTCCAGAACAGCTGAAAGTCATGTTATGTGCACATAGCTTGCTACAGATAATTGTTCAGCAGTGTTCCCACAGTACTGCTTTGAGGATTATGTTAGATTTATAGGAATGGTTTGTGTCCATTAGTTTCACATAACTTAGATCATGTGATACAATTAAATTAACTGATGCAATTCTCCAGGTGCAATCCAGTTGTCTGCTCTTCTTATAGTGAATACAAAAAGAAAAGAATGAGTCTGTCAATTTTTTCATTGTTCCATTTCTATAGAGTTTATTTACTTGTCTCTAAAATCAGTATTCATAAATTTAAAAAAAACGGGACTAAATTTGACCTGACTGTATCCCCTTCAGGGATTTTTTTGCTCTTTCTCCTTTCTGAGGAGACCAGAAATTAGAATCAAATCTGAAAGAGAGAAAGAGATACTGTGAAACTTTGGTGAGCAGTAGATGAAAAACCATTGGACTGCAGTGTGGGACAAGTTGCTGCATGTAAGTATATGGAGCCTGCTGTAGCAGAAATTAAAGCGTGCATAGGAAATCATCCTCTCACCCTTGGTATAAACTTCAGGATGCTAACTGGAAATAAGATAATACAACAACTCATTATTTAAGTTAAGTAAAATAAAAGAGTTGAAATAGAAAAGTATTTGACAAAAAAAAAAAAAAAAAGAATAGAGGGATATTAATGTATCAGTTCCTTGAAAAAGAATGCTTTCTTTTTGAGGAAATCTGTAAGTACTGGCTTAAATAATGATTTAAGACCACATTTTTCTGATATAGGTTACGTATTGATAGGATAACCTGTTCTCTATTGGTTTTATCTCATATGTTACACTTTCTTTAGGCCTTACAGTAAGTATATTTCCTAATATTTAATTTGACTAACAACAGATTTAATTTGCCATATTTACCCAAATCCAAAATGACTTCAAATTTCAGACAAGTAGATTATGTCCACAGCAAATTACACATTTTCCATGTATCTATGCTCCCCTCCCCTTCCTGCACTTTGTCTGTGTGCCCTGGTGCCTGCCTTCCAGCCATTTGCCCCCTCCCCACTTCCTGCTTGCTGCTATCCTCTGTTCCCCCTGCCCACCAGCTAC